GTATCTTATTTGTTATTAATTTTAATTTTTTTTTTACATCAAATTATTGGGGGAGGAGTGAAACGAAAATATTCTCACCCCACATATCTATTGGGAGAGAAAGGGGGAGGAGGGAATTGCTCCCTCCCCTTCCCGTATTTTGCGTCTATGACATGAATGGCTGTTAATCGTAACCTTACAACTTCTTTATCTAAGAAAATTCTCAGAAATGCTGTGTTTTCTCATTACATTAATTTAATGAGTCACTAATAATTCATTAATACCCACTAGATTTTCATTTGAATCAAAAGATAACTCAATCACTAAATCGAGAAAAAAGATGACTAACAAAAATATTGGGCTATTTAGCCTATATAACCTTGTTATTTGAACATGTACGAGATGCAGGTCACGCCAAACGGCCCAATATTTTTGTAGTCAATTTTTTTTCCTCGACATTCTGATCAAATTATCTTACGATTCAAATTGAAAGCGAATGAATATTCATGAGTTTTTTTAGTACCTCATTAAATATACACAGTTTGCCGATCTCCAGATTGAAAGGAGTTCCTAATCATTTTTAAGGGGAATATTAATGATTGATATATCTAAAATAAATTGTTTCAAATTTTGAAACTGATGAAATTTATATCTGAATGTAGAAGGATCGTAATAATATTTTAGGATTTAATTTTTACAATTATTTTTTGGACTTATATGAAGTCCTGTATCAAGAGTGGATAGGGTCCAGTAGGATAGGGTGTGAAAACCCAACAGCGCTAATTGAATTCAAGCTTCATCCCATTTGTAATTGACTAATGCCGTTAATTGTTAATTGATAATTACTGATTGCTTATGGAAATTGAGTTGTGTTATAATTACTGAGGTTGGAAATAGATTTGTTGAAGTTGATTGTTGAGTTGTACATCTGAAACTATAAATCAAATCTAGATTAGATTAATCCTGACACATTTATGAACTTTGAGATATATAAGAAATTTTTAATATCCACTCTTGTGTATTTTATTCATGAATTTCTACTAGTAACATATGTTTAGATTTACTCCACTGATCGATAACAAAACATTATTCATTATTTAATTCCTTGTAGTTTTACTTTATAATTGTATTCTGAACATAGAGTAAAACTTTTTCTTGTTCATCTTTCCTAATAATTATTCTTTCTAGATTTAAATATTACAACAGCATTTAAGAATTTATTCATACCATGAACTTTAAAAAGTGAATATGAATACAAATTTCAATAAAGTTTTTTTAAGTCTATCAAAAAGCTTTTAACCATGAAATGTTGTATTTCTACCTAGACATATTCTATTTTGTTTTATAAAAATAAAATTTTCAGAATCATAATTTTTAATATAACGATATCTTTCTTAACTAGTAGCTGTAAGAAAGTAAAAAAATTATCAAAAGAAAAAGTAATCAAGAAACTCTCATATTTGGCACTCGACCAATGAAGAAGCTAAATTTTAAAAACTGAATTAAAGATATCATTGTATTTTCTCACTTCCTTTTTAGACATCATATTTAATTTAGATTAAGTTATTTCACATTCTACATGTATTGTAGCCAAGCTAATTGCATCCGTCAATAAATTATACTTGAATTAAATTTTATATGTTACAACTTTTGAAGAGTTTTTTCAGCTAGTTTTTAATATTTTTAAGAACAATTAAAATAGTTGAACACATGATTGACTGTTGCAATTAGAATTTAGTCAATTAAATTATCATGAATTTCAGTTTTATCATAGAGAAACTAGACACTTAATTTCTTTTTATGATTTTATTTATATATTATATTATAGTTAAATTGGATTATAAATCATTTTTATTATTGATATTTGTACATAAACCCATACACAAAATTAAACCACATAAAGTTAAATCAGTAATAAAATATTAAATGATAAGGTATTACATAATTAAACATAATTAGAAAAAATTAACCATTTTTCTTCAAAATAGTTTAGTTGCATATATGAAGTTTTATTAGTTCAAATGGTTTTCATAATCACTCCAGTTACACTACATAAATTGTTAAGCTACAGTTTTAATATCTGTAAATAACCAATTACATAACCTAAAGAGTCCCAGAACTAAATCCATAGTTCAGTGTGAGGATTCTCTTACTAGTATCAAGTTTTCGCTCGACTGAAGTGGGTTATCAGGAAGTTAGCTGTGGTTTCACAAACCGTTCCTGAGTCCACACATTGCTGAATTGAGTACCTGACATAAGTCAGAAGCATAAATTAGACAGTTGGAACCTACTCAGAACCAAAAATATTGCAGAGTTATGAATCAGGCTCTATCAATGGCTACCTTCTTCCCTCATAGATTGTCTCATTTTTTTTTTTTTTTTTTTTTTTTTAATCTATTTGAGATGTTGAATCAATTAAATGTTAAAATTTTAGATGTGGAGATAACAGCATACATATGCATCAATTCCTCTGACAAATAAGTCCTTTCGGTTTTTCAGGGTTAGATAAATTTGGTGTATTATAGACAAAAAATTTATTTTGCCCTACAATTTATTGATTGATATTTAGTATGGTGAGTTCATATCATTCTACAAACTGCATAATAATTCATAGAACATCTAGGGTTTATTGTCAAAAAACTAATATAAGTGTTTTTTTATGTCCTATTCATTTTGGAATTTTTGCTAATTGAAATGAGTATTTATCATTCTGGTGAATAGCGAAGGTGGGGTAAAAGTTACCATCCAAATCTTAACTATTTATTGCGAGTGACAAATGAGGTTTGGCCCCAAGTTTTGTCTTGTTGGAAAACAACATTCTTTTGCCAGTTCTGGACGTTTTTATCCAATTGATTGATCAAATGTCATAAATTTTGAGCAGTATAGTTGAATGTTGAATCAATTGTTACTCCTGATGGAAATATCTCATTGAATATAACACTCTTAAAATTCATACAGGGTCATTGACATCAATATTTCCTAAACGAACTTTGGTAAACCAACTAAAAACATGGTTAATACACCTTCTCCATAAACATGTAAAATTTCTTTTTAAGAGCTTCAGCACGCTTACCTTGTTTAAAATAAAATTAATGTGCCACTAAGGAATGATATTTGTTTTCATATTCATAGTCCCAACACAATAGTGATCTAATTTTTACCAGAATTACTGGAATGGTTGTTGACATATTACAATTAGGATAAACAATACATCTTAGAGATCAATACATCAGATTAGAAGTGTATGGTAGTGAAATAAACAGAAAAAATTGAAAGAAACAATTTGACATCCAATAAATATGAAAAATTTCATATCATGGAACAATGAAAATTCTATGAACTATTGTAATTGTTTTAAGTTTAACATAGTACTAGTAGGCTTTCTAAAACTTCCAAACTTTTGAACCGCATTAGGCTACTTATGAGGTGTTATTTCTTAACTATTATACATAAGTATGGTCTCTAAAGATTGGAAGTTTGTTGAAAAGAGAATGGTGTGATTTAGGATATCTTAATTATTTTGACAAATATAATAATGTTAAATATATAATAAATTATTCAGTTTAGTTACATTTAGAATTAGTATCATTTGATTGTATGATGTGAGATGTGGAAGGAAGATACATGGAGGAATGTTACAGGATGCAGCCGAGCTATGTGTACCAGAGCCCGTACCTGACTGCCGCCGCAGCCGCCGCCCCCAGCGGCCTCGTCACCTTACCGCCGGCCCCGCTCAGTCATGCCGCAGCCGTAGCCGCCGCAGCGTCTCAGTTCTACGAGTATCAGAACGCTGCGGCCGCCGCACTTGCTGCCACGTACCCGGCCACCAGCCAGTTTGCCAATGGCTTCGATCCTTACACCACAGCAGGTAAATATCAACCATATTCTTTAGTTTGTTGTATTTTGCGATAACTATACTTGAATTGTGTCTAAAAAAAAAAATAAGACTTGTTTAATAGCGGGTAGCGTCAAAACCTCCCTTGTTATCTACCCTTATTTCACATAACCTCCCTTATCTTCTCTGGAGATAAGGATAATCAAACAAGACGTAATACAATAATAAGGCGTTAGATAATCAAACTAGACGTAATACAATGATTATTTGTTCCAAGCTTTTTAAAACTTCCCCCTTTTCTTTCTTTCTGTTCGCTTTACAGACCTCGTAGGTATTTGCAAGGAGTTCCAAAAGAAGGTAGCACGAATCGCAAAAAAATTGTTGAAGGAAGTGATTTTAAGGGTGAGGATGCATGGGTCAGTAGTTTGAGATCTGTAATTCAGAGAGCGAATAGAGGAACGTAGGCTACGAGTTCGAGGATGTAAACAAGGTTTTAGTAAACACCAGAGGAATTGATGTCGATAATTGAGATAGAGCCACTTCAACTCAAGATGTACTAGATAACCTTCAATACATCAAGCAACCGTAGCCAAAGTGAAAACAAGAAGGTTACAATGACAAGGGTCTTTTGGGGGAGGGAAATCATCGACTCCTTTAACCAGCCGTTTCCATCTCTACCTAACTTCTATCTACAGATGAGTGGAAGTAAGAAGTAGTTGGAAGTATCTGTATATTAACACTAACTGATGTCGTTATTCATTTTTATTCCCCTACCTGGGGTTTTCGGTCTTATTTAATATTTTCTTCTTAATTCGCGCGGTTTTACAACACGTTATCGTGTCTAAGCTGCCTCATTGAGAAATCGCCAGGAGTGCCGTTTCTACTGCTATATCTCATGCTGCTGCCATCCAGTCGCGGACTCCGATGTTTCTTTTGCCTCCATCAACAGTCGTGGGAAGCCTTGCCCTACTGACCCTAATTCTTCTATGAATGTCCTCCAAAAGCAGTTTCTTTGAAATCGGCTTTTATTCATTCTTGCCAATGACCTGCCCATCTTCGCTGAAGCGTTGTGAACAATTGAAACTATGTTAGGCTCACTATAGAGATCATCAATTTTCTGGTTGGTCCTCTTCCTCCATCTTCCGCACATAATTATGGGTCCAAATATTCAAGAAGAAGCTTTCTCTCAAACAGCAAAACGTTTGGATAAAAAACCTTGTTCCTCGTTCATAGCTTTGCACCATAGATGGCGACCCAAAGTAGCTGCCTTAACAAGCCTTCTCCACCTCTGTCTAACTTCTCTGTATAGATGAGTAAATGTAAGTTCCTAGTACCTATGAACTAACATACCTAAATGAAGTCCTTATTACTTTTTTCGCTTATCTGGCCATTACGGGTTTCAGAAGCCGCGGGTCAGTACTCATGAGTTTTACGTACTCCACTGCCTCTAAAAAAACAAGTTTATTTATTAGAGCAACATTATACGGTAATATATGGTGTAACTATAATACATTGTCGTGCACACTTAGTGACGAGGCAGTAATTTTATTACTTTCTCCTCTTCATGTATATTACCTCATCTAACATACGCGTTACGACATTAACTGTTCCTGGAGCTGCTACGATAGCACAAATCTTTCTTGCGATTTCTTCTCCGACCAAGGTGCACTGGACATTCCATACTGCCCGTGCAGTCTTTCCATTCTTCTCTAGCCTTCTATGCATCTGCGCAGTTCTTTTGGTTAGATGGATATTTTACAATGTGTTCTTGTAGGATTCCCGTTAATCCCTGATCCAAGTTCTATCCTTATCGGATACGCCTCTAATTGACTCCTATCGTGATTGGAAACACAGACTCTGACTCTGTCCCGCATCTGATTTTCATCTTTAAGCATACAGAACCCATTTATCTTCATACATACATATAGAATTTCTTCTAGGTTTTCAGCATTCCAAGCGTTGGTAACTGTTCCGATTTCCAGCTTGGTTTTCCTCACCTATATCTCTTGGATCTGAATGTATGGATGATTTATGTGTTTGTACAGATCGGTTTTTCAGGATAACGGGTTCTAGCTATATGTATACACTCCTCTTCACAAATATCATCCATAATTAAAATGAGCATATTTATCATTTATAATATCTGAAAAGAACGGATCATCTCTAAGCTTAAACAAAGCTGGTAGAGTGTTCGTTCTAGTTGGGTTAGAGTGAGTCTTCCATTTACAAAACTGGCTCAGAGAGACCGAGAGACAATGCTAGTTAGATTGAATTTAACTAGATCTGAGTGTCTAAATGGACTTTTAATTCTAAGGTTAAAGCACCTTTTTATTGCGCCTGGTCCTAACCAAGAAGACAATAAACGTATCAGATTCGAAATAAACGTCGTATTTAAAATAAACTATTTGTTCATTTCCTCAAAAAATAATCATTTTTTTTTATTTGGTGGTCGGCCATACGTTTGATAAGCAACATGGAAAAAAAATCGAGCTGGTTAGTGTGATTGATTAGTCTAGTTTTTAAAATAACTTCATACAGTTTTTAAAGAACCTCTCAACCGTTTCGCAGAATGATTTAGACTTTGTAATCAGTTTCCATCTATAAATAACTAACCGTTTCATTGCCAATAGTTATTTCAGTCCAAAAATAGTTCCAGAGTCAACTATCCCACTCTCGAGATGAAAATGGCGAGTAAGGAGAGGCGAAAGAAAGCTTTAGATTCTCGTATCCCTGCTTGGAAAGTTCTTAGTCTTCCTTTTTTTTTTCTTCTTTTTTTTACCCTAAGGGAATTGTTCCATCATACTGATCCATAAGGTGCTTATAATTTGTTCTTAAAGCTTACTATTATAAGAGTAGTTATCAACTTAGGTTTTAAATCATTTATGTTGATGATGAAATACTCGATTTTTTGTAGAATAGTGACGTAGAAAGAATTAAATAAGGCCAAGGCTTATCGATAGGTTCTTTTACAATGCATTTTTCAAAAAACCTAGCTCATTTGCCGTTAACTTGGAGCAATCCTTTCTTGTTTTATTCACTGGAATTTAATCTCTTTTATTTAGGTCACTATAAAAACTATGTGATGTAAACATGGAGTGAAAATGTATGCCTGTTACTTAAGTATGGTTACTGGCTTGTACGAAGATTCTTCAACAGCTTCAGTGGAAGTATCCATCACTCGTCTTGCTACGGATTTCTTTTATAAACAAGAATGAAGCGTTGTGCATACTTAAATAATAGGGCGACTTTATTTATCATCTTAAAAGAATTATGAACCACTTATACCTTTGTCCAAAGCAATAAAACCTTGCTAATGTCAATTAAACAAGATAAGTTGATGGAGAGAAAACTCATAGGCTGGAAGGAGGCCATCTGGCAAGAGGCTGTATTCACGGCAGGTTATAGCCAGTGGTAATTATTTGAAATTGCATTAGGCTCCTAGTTATTTCTAGACTCTTACAACATTCCTTTCGACGCGGTCGAATATCTTGTCTTTGGTCTATTTATAGAATTTGGCTTGCTTATCAGGAAACATCCAGAAAACCTTCTTAGTTTTAGGGGTTTATTTTTGTATAGTTAGATTATTCATCTATGGCGCATCAGATAAACAAGGATTAATGTAATTTATATTGATTTAAAATAACATTTTTATTATTTAACTTACGCGGATAAATCGAATATGAGTAATTATTATTTTTCTGTAAATTTACTGATAAATGTTATAAACAAACCATACTTTCAGCATGCTTCAATGTCTCATTTGTGATCTTACATCTGCCACAGATTTAGTGGGATGAATATTCCCTGTTTACAAAATGTTAAGAGGCCAGCCAGGATGTCACTTGATTGGAGACGAATCTTAAACTTATTTATTGCTTTCGAATCATTTTCCTCAAAGGATTTTTTTGAAATTAATTACTGTTTTGGATTTTATGGGATATATTCAGGGGTACCCATTCTCCTCTCCCAAGGTCGATGGCGCAAGAACGCCCCCCTTCTCCCAAGATATTTTATTCATCACTTCTACTTAAAAACAGAGCAAGTTAAGCTAGAATTAGAAAAATCGTAGATCCTTTTTATTTTATTTTGTATTCCTTCCTACCCTGCCTTTAAGATAATACGGGAGTTTGCAGCAGTGAGTTGATACATATTCCTACATAACAAATCACTGCTACAAGTTTATTGTTTTACATTCTGATAAATTGCCGTGCACACACCCTGCTTGATTAACTTTCTCTCTAATTTCATCTTCTTCTCTTGTCCTGATCAGCGACCTTCTAGGTCTCAATTTAGCCCTCAGTGCCTCACAGTTGGTGCAGGCAACAAGGATGTGCTCAGCGGTTTCTGGTACTCCACAAGCGGTGCATAAGGGATGGATTTTTTTACCATGTTTAAAAAGCTTTGTTCTGAAACCCCGATGTCTTTTCGCTGCACGTTTTGACAGTGAGGACCTTTCTGAGTGAGCACCCTTTTTGGGTTGTCACCCATCACTGGTTTCATGGTTTCAATGTATCCTCCCAGAAGATTATCTTCCATCTTATGGGGTCTTCACAAATCCTCTCCCGAATGTTTGCTAGTAAATCCGCAAGGTCTTTCCACATCGTAATCATAAAATCGTAGATCATATACAATTTTGCTTAGTGTGTTATATTCCATGTTTTTCCCCTTAGTCCGGAAATCCATAACCCCATCGAAATTTCTTCCCCTCAAAAATTAAAAATAACCAAGAAAATATGTCCCCTTAAAAAGTTAGATGGCGCAAGTTGCACCAAGGAACTCCCTTGTAGGTACCCCCGCTTGTATTCATTATTACCCGCTGATTTATTGAGCCTTTTAGTTGACAGAATGACACTCCAGTTTCAACATTTTTGAGTAAAATCATTTTAGTCATATTTTTAGTTGGAAAATTTATAATACCTGTACAGAAGTTAATTCCAGAGTAGGTCATATATAAAACACTGGAAATATCACTACTCAACTGAAAGGTTCAATTTCTATCTTAACTGTACTTGAAATCATGAACGTCACGCTAATAAAAAAATAAATAAACACACTCTATATAAATAATTATCTAACTGAAATTTAATGACTATACATTTTGAATCTGCGAATAGTGATGAAAGGGGTTTTCATGTAAGTCATCCGTCTGATAATACTTCACCCTTCATGTTAAGTTATTTAAAGATTTTTCTATTTTTCAAGTGAAAACTTCTTTTGCTCTACTGTTTGTGGGAAGTGAACGAGACTGAGCCATCAGCTTGGATGTGTAACGCTCAGTCGAATTAATTCGGCTCGAGTCGAATAATTGAATTGTTTTTGCATATGGATTAAAATATCTAAGAAACTAGAAATCAGGCTTGCATATTGTAAGCAAGGAAAATGTTCAGAATTTCTACTTTCGTTATAATGAGCTGTTATTCAAAATTGTACATTTTGACGGAGCTGTTATTCTGAATTTTCAAAGTAAAAAGTTTCAAATTAAAAGTCAAGCGGAAGCATTTACTAGACTGCAGGATGTGTAATTGTATATACTCTACGAATATTTAAATTCTACTTTTGATTGCACTGTTTTTAAGAAGAAGAGAAGAATAAAATATCTTGGGAGGGGTAGAGAAAGATTTATGGGAAAGGCGCCATCGGCCTTGGGTGGGATGAGCACCCCTGATTGTAAATGTTATTATTTTGTGAATATAGAACAAAAAGTAGTTTATATGCAACTATAATCATATAAATTGTAAATGTTATCAATCTAAAAATATAGAACAAATAAAATCTATATTTCATATTATTGATCTTGCCCTGATGTTTTGACTTCTATTGTGTTATCTAAAGAACACGTCATAGTTTTTTTTTGTTTTTTTTTATTATCAATTTGACTACATTATTCCGAGCCTTAGAAGAAACAGTATAGATTTTTATAAAACTAATCATTTATGTAACTTATTAATTGTTCTATGTTAACTAGATTTTTTCTTTGCACTCAGAATTCTAAATTACTATATTTTCATGTATTCACTCCCAAAACGCTAACTCCAGTTAGAATTAATAATAATGATTTATTTTGAAATAAACAACTTAAATAAAAATCAATAATGTCCTGGTTACTCCTAAATGTGGTAGTTTAGCTTATATTTTCCATAAGTTAATGAAAATGAACCTCCTTGCATTTGGCTGAGATGTTGTGACCTGTTGCTCAAGTTTTTAGTTCTTTACCTGCCAAAGTGAGGCATTACCCTCATTCAATAACCCCAGTTTCTTGATTTATGTCTTTTTCTCAGGCAGTCTCAATAGTCCAACCTGTGGATTCTGACTAGTCCCTCCCATCTACCTCACGATCATAAGATTTTCCTGTATATATTATGATTTATCTCTGTTACTTATTTCATTTTTTATTCCATCCATTTTATTCTTAATATTTTAGTGGAAGTGTTTCTGAGAAGATATTATTGTTTTATTGTAATTTAGAAGATAGAATAGAATACATTTAAAAATATGCTCCAAATTTATTTTATTTTATATTATTATAAGTTAAGATAAAAGCCTTATTTTTTAGAAATTAGAACAAACCAGTCCTGTGTGCAAGATAGTGTATTTGCTACTCTGGAATCCATGTTCAAGGTTATCTTTAGTTGAAGGTTTACTATTTCATTTGTAGTGAACTGACTGGTCAGATCCTCTACCCATAAGTCAGATACGCAGTACCAGTGACTGATTTTGGGGATTTG